CAGAACGACACAGCTGTCATTAGCAAATTGTGTAATTGCTAACTTGACACCTTTTTGAATTCAAATGATCTCCCGCCATTTTAGAGTACTCCATAATCGACTCAAAGATGGAACAAAGTTGTCGAAAGTAATATTGTTTATTCTGAAAATAGAAGGACAATAAATGTATGTAAATAAAAAAGAAAAATTATTTAATTAATTCCGTGGCAATAATTAAATCTTTCAAGCAATAAGTATCAAAAGTAAGTGCCATTTTTTAAAAATTTAGACACTCGTCAAGCGACATTATTCACATCCAAGATTTTCTACTCGCGTTTAAAATGTAAATAACGTTCACCATTTTTCTTTTTCTTGAAAAAGTAACAGAAACTGACTAGCACACTTCCCGATCCTTCAAATCTACTAATCTGTCTAAGTTGCAATTAATGTGTAGAAACCGCAATCCTGATAGTCGATACGATTTTCCGTCTAGAAAGTTGGTTCGTAAAAATACACCATAAAAACACCGTGGAACGACTGAATAATGATAAGCTTCGTATCTGCACAGATCATTTAGTTTTTCCGTTTCGCAAGCGGAATGTCCTCGGTTATGTAACAAACGCTGTGTCTTTCGACGAGAGATGGGATAAAGAACATTGCAAGAGAGTTTCGAATCTAATTGAATGTGCCGCCGAATAGTTTGCAAATAATTTTGAAAACCGAAAAGGAAAACTTCGAAGTAGACTAGAACCAGAAAATACACGCATCTCAATATGTTTTAAACATTTATGGCTAACATTTGGCAGAGAACTTTGTTTTATAATCCTTAATATAAATTCAGAAGGAAAAGATTGGAGAAATTACAGAAATTTGAAGTACAATTAAAGGATTTGATTAATATACAATAACGTTTGTGGAGTGTTTTAAATGTTAGAATGTTTTATAGGCAATGGGCCTATAAAAACTGTATTCTTTATTATATCATTAAATTGCAGTAATAATTTCAATAATAACGCTTGCTAATTACAATTAGACATAATAGTATTTACAACACATTAAATACAAAGTTACAAATTTTACATCTAGCGAAGAAAAATAAATATAACACCCTCTTGTGGTTGAATTTGAGGGTCACTGTATATACTAAAACAATAAAATAAAAAAAATTCCTTTGCAGATCTTTTCAAAATTCAGTGAATATTTAGGGTGTTAAAGGACATTCGTAATTATTTATTATTAATATCAAATATTTCATTTTTGCTAGACTTACATTGTTTTGATACTTTGAAAGATATTAATGTATTTCATTATTTATTATATGCTTGTTTATCTTGATTCAAAGTCTAGTGTCGACTACGAAATTATAAATTCGTTCCCAGGATGTACCGGGTGACGCGTCCTGTAAACCGACGGTCGGCAACCTGCAAAGAACAGGGAGCAATGGCGGCGATAGTATCGAATGACGATAATGGGATAACGAGGTCGGTGATAATTAGTGTGGCGGTACCGGTACTCGTTGAACCGACCGACCCTGTCGATCGTTAACTAGGAATTATTAACGTGCCTCCTCCACTTCCTGCATTTTGTTATCGTCTTCTCTTGTGTTCACCCCTTTTGTAGAGCAAAGTTTCCTCGATCTCAGCAAAACAGTCTCCTTTTTATCGAATTTTACGAAGTCACTGTATATATAAACAAGATGTGCTAAATATACCACGATGAAGATCTACATATTAGCCCTTTCTAGAAATTTTCCAATCTATTGGCACATATACACTAATGAGACAGTAAACTAATGAAGTAGAGATTAACAGAATTTTTGTTGGTTATCAAATTTTAGATTTTGTCTTTGCAAAACTGTTGCGAAAGTGTTACGGCGAATTCTTTAAACATTTTTACATTAGTTTATGGTTTCGACGTAGGAATATTCAGAAGATTTAGAAGAAAATAGTATGATATAATATTTTATGGACACACATTCAAATATTACCCATAATTGGACATTTTTATTCTAGTAAGTTAATATTAGGTCATCCCATAAATAATCCGCTTTCCTATATTTCTTTTATTCTTAAGAATAAAGATAAACAAAACATTTTTAAAGTAATCATAATATACAGATAGACAATTTATAGAGAATGAAGGAGAATATATTTTAGATTAAAAAGCAGTTTAATTCTAATAATACTTAACATCATACTCTTATTTTCCATTCTTCATTTCCTTTCTTAATTATTCACTATTAATGCCACACTCTTAATTTTATACTCCAGAATCTAATTCCAGTGATCCTAAGAAATTCTATTAACCCTTTGCACTCGAAAGTTTTTCACTGGAAATATTCAACGTTTCCCGACGAGATATAGACGATATTGTTTGAAACTAATTTAACGATAATACACAGATAGATTATGGAACAAAGCTATTTTATTTAAATATTTCACATAGCAATGCAAAGTTTAATTTAAAATACCAAATGTTAAACTTCATAGGTTTGCTGTATCAAATAAAGTGACTGAGACTCATCTCTCGAGTGCAATGATGTTTAATACTTAACATCATACCATTATTTTTCATTATTAATTTTCTTTCCTAATTATCTACTATTAATGTTACACTCTCAGTTTTATACTCCAGATTCGTCAGGTCTTAAATAATCCTCGTAGAATATAGAACGAACTCGATTTCACTTCGAAAGTGATATTCGAAATTTAAATTTCCCGCTAATTTTCTTTCTTAATTAACTACTATTAATGTTACACTCTCAGTTTTATATTCCAGAATCGTCAGGTCTTAACCCCTTAGCGTACCATTTACTTTCGTTACTAAGCTCGCGTAATATTTTACTATCGACAATTTGTAAGAAATACAATAAAATTTTCCATTCTACTTCAGGTGGAAATTTCAGTTGAAGATAATACATCGATAATAGCAAAATAGTTGTTTGCTTTGATCCGTGGGTAATGAACAACATTGATTCTTGTTAAATTAGTTTAGAAATCTTTATCACGAGTCTCACTCGTCATTGTACGGCAAGGGGTTAAATAATCCTCGTAGAATATAGAACGAACTCGATTTCACTTCGAAAGTGATACTCGAACTTTAAATTTCCCGCGGTTTCTGGTCGCCCGATCCCGCCATTTTCTCCCGCGCGTTTCAAGCGTCGACCTAGGCCAAGCGTTACGTCAGGCTCCGTTACGAGCACCGTTTACGTAATCGACGCGGACGGCGCGTATTTTTTTCCCCGATCGCCGTAAGTCAACACCGGCGGTGTTCATTTCACCGGGCGAATATTGCGTTTCCTCCCCGCGCCCCGCCGTTCCGCTCGGCTCAGCCGGCTCTCCTCCTTTTCCCTCTCGTTTGTCTTCTCCGGCGTGTCCGACTCGTGTCGCCGATTTTTCGATGGCCGATACGGATTCACTGGACAAATGAAGCGCGACCGATTTACTGTAGCACGTAACACGGTTGGTCTGTAAATGCATTCTACTCGTTTTGCGTAAGAAATATGTGAGTACGAAACGAGTAAAAAGAATTGTATTGTATGAAATATTATATATTCTTGTTGATGAAAAATGGAGATGAAATTATTTGCGGAAAAGATTGGTTAACGAATGGTTATTTAATTTTGAAACACGTGTGGTATACTTTGTGCTACTAGTATGTTAGATTTGGTTTTTGTGCTTTGGAATTTCCTTTAGTAATAGCATGACTTGGGTTTCCATATACGGTGAGTACATGTTGTTACACAATTAATGATATTTATTACGTAAGTTGCAGTTGACTTTGAAACATCCTGTACAAAGTATATGAAATCTAATACAGTAATAAAGAACCTTCGTTAGGGTAAAAATAAACAAATGTTCGACTAAAAAATATCATATTCACAATTTCATATAGCACAGACTAATTTTTCTACTTTTTAGTACTTTCAATCAGTACTTATTTAATTTTTGAACATCCTGTAAACAATATAAAAATTACACAATAAATGTCTTCTGTATTAGAATAAAAATTTCCCAATCAACTTCACTGACATTTCCAAACACAAAAGGAACCTTAAAAAATAAGTCCCTCTTTAGATCTACATTCAACTTTGAAGCACCCTGTGCAACATGCAACCAGAAAAGTTTCTAAACGATTTCACGAACGTTTCCAATCACAAAAGGAACCATCAGCTCCAAGTCAATCTATTTACATTTTCCGTGAACGTGCATTGAACTTTGAGGCATCCTGTACGAGATGTAAACAGTGCATAAAAGACGAACGTCGGTATCAAAAACGACTAGAGCGTCGAACGGTTTCGCGAGGTCCGACAGAGCAGAGTGAATTGGTTACGGTCGTTGCTCCTGGTAGCTTCGCCTTTGCTTCTTCCGCTCCGGTACTGCGAAGACGATGACCGTGCCCGAGCTCAAAGATCTTTCTTCGTTCAGTTACACGGTGGCACAGAAGGAACCGTGTATTCAGAATTATCGTCTTTCGTGTAAACCATTCCGCTATCGGAGTTCAAAAGGCTTCCATGAAACGCGTCGAAGAAACCGGAGACTGCGAATAAATTCTTTCGGCGATAACCGGGCACGAGTCACGTAATGTGGAAGCCGAGATGAACGTGAGCACGCACGCACGCACGCACGCATGCACGCACGCACGCACGGATGGACGCACGGACGCACGTATCGGGGATCGGTTTCCTCGTAATCACGGTAACGCGACACTTAGAAACGAAACCGCGGGCGAATGTTAATCCTGGCGCCTGCAAGACTTCGTTGACTTTCTTGCCTGTCGTTTCGAATGATCAGTTGTCAACAATGTGGACAAGTCTGTGGTTGTCACTGATGCTGTGACTTTTTGTTAGGACCAGCTGTGAAGAGTTGCTTAACCCCTTCACCTGCAATATCGTGTCAGACTTGTGACGAAAATTTCAAACTGAATTCGAGGAATCTAAGTGTTATTTATATTTTTTGGATATAAATTGAATGTTACTTTTCTGTTATTAATCATTTACTTTTGAAGTAAGTGTAGACATAATAAGAAAGAAAATTGTGTTTATTCCTAATAAATGATTAACGATAAGGTAATAGGAAATCGTAAGGCAAGGGGTTAATTAGTAAAATATATTAAATAGATAGGTAGCTTAATGGGAAGAGTGGGATTTTTATTTAATATTTTCGAAGTTTAAACAGGCGAAACATAGGAATGATTTTTCTTATCTTGGTGTAAATAAATGAATAAAAATTAGCAATATATACTTTGACCAGGTTCTGAAACAGAGGAATGATTGAACATCGTTATAAAAAGCGATCTTCGTGTTTTCTGTATTCCAGGCGTCGACGGCCACTGGTACCCGGCTAAAGAAGAATGGAGGCGGCGAAGGAAGTCATCGATGACGGTCCCCGCGCAACAGACACGAGTCAGCAGCCCGAAGAAACGAAAACAGAGCCTGAGAGGCTGCGAGTCCTCTCGGTCGACAAGGTTACCGTCGAGAAGTACGTGTTAGAATCTTCAAGCGGCTCTCGCGAGGTATTCTTAACGAAAAATGAAAGTTCCCGGAAGCTCTCAATCAAATCTGAGCCCGGTAAGACTTTCTTAACTCGATCAGGTAACGAACGGAAGGACTCTGCTTCTGTCAAACAACGTTCCTCACTGCCAGAAGAAGCTTTACTAAAAAACAACCTCTTCAGCAGTCCTCAATCGACAGAAAATACTTTGAAAAACCAAGAACCCGTCGTTGAAAAGAGGATCAGGCCTATCAAGCTGACGAAAAGTCCTTCTATAGGCAGCATAGTAGTCAGTGGTTTAAAACAAAATAAGGTTCCACCTAAGATACCTGCCAAGCCAGCTTCAAGGAACCTTGTTCCATCGACTTCAACTTTAGAGAGCTCAAAAGGGCCTGCAGAAGAGCGAAAAGAAGACAAACAGTGTGAGATAAAAGAAGGAAGTATTCAGGAAGACGATATTAACTCTGTGGACCAAGAAAACAAAAAGGAGAAGGAAGAACTGGATGCGAAAGATCGTTTAGAAAAAAGCCAATCAAAGATAGAGGATCTACAGCAGCACTTGGGTACCAAAATAGACGCCAACACGGCGGAGAAGTATAAGAAACTGTTAGAACTGCGGGTTAGCTGCGGCCTGAAAGTCCCAGTCGTCGTAGACTCGAATGCAAATGAAAAACTACTGGATGAAGAGTTCCTGAAGAGACAGAGTCTGAACAAGAGGCTAAAAATCGAGGAGTCAGTGCTGGAGACCGAGCTGGACTGTGTGTCCAACGGTGAAGACTATCAAGAGCCTGAAACAGAAAATCGAGAGAAGCCTAGTTACAGCAAGAAGGTATCAGAAGTCGAGAAAAGATGGTCCGGTGAGTTCCTAGAAAGACGTCAGTCATCAGGATCCTCAAAGTCCTCGTATGTCGAGGAATTCGGTAGCGCATCCTCTAGGGAGAGCGTCGGAGAGGATCGCGGCGCCTCCCTGTTCCAGCAGGAAAGAGATTTGCAAGACGACAGGGACTCTATCACTGAAAGACAGACATCCGAGGAGGTGCTAACTGTAGATAGCAGTGACCTGGTTAGCACTGTAGACTCTGACTCGTGTTTAGAAGACAGGATTAAGGCCATAGAAGAGGACATCGAGACAGAGGAAATCGAGAATAATGAGCTTGACGACGATAAGATTGATCAAAGGCCTAGCTACGAAGGGTTCAAGGACGAGTGGAGGAAGGACAGGATCGTAGAGTTGATGCAGCAACACCAGAACCAAGATAAAGGGTCCTCTAGATCTGGGATAGTATCCTCCACAGATTCCATCGATTTAATTGTCACTAGGACTTCACCTGGCAGAGACGGTTACGCGAGTCTGATCAGAGAGTTCAGCATGGAGGGGACGTCTTCCAGAAAGAAGGAGGAGAAGCAGAAGAAGAAGCTGGGTTTGCGACGTCTGTTGCCTGGCTTCTTCTCACCAAAAGACTCGAGGAAAGATTATAAAAAGAAAGAGTCCAAGGAAAGAAAGAAGCAAGATGATAGACACTTCACTAGGTACCAACAGAATGGGAACTACACTAGATCCCCAGACACGATGAACTTAAATGAGGATATCAAGAGAAACGTGAAACTAGACAACAGTTTAAATGGGTCCATGATTGAGGAGAGGTTGGATGAGATTAAGAGGGAGCTATTTCCTGACCAGGGACCTATAACCAGCACCCCAGATCACCTAGCTAGAGATGAGGGTCAAGGCTTGCTCCGTGATCGACAACCTAGATCCTACACCACCGATTCCAGTCTTAGCTCGATAGCGCCTGATGATCGATGGGCAGAGAGAAACGCACACTTAGGTATTTCCCCGGACATCCGAAAGTTTGAACAAAGACAGAAACGTGAAGAGTTTGGTCGAGGACAATTGGAGCGCAAGCACAGCCTTCAGGAGCCTAACAATCGCTACTTCTTCCACAGAAATCATGGACCGTCTGGTAGAATCTCTGCTCCTCCTAGCGAGAGATTCTTGGTGCGTCCTAGAGCGATTCATCCAGTGGACAGACCTCTGCCAGCAATTCCTCATTCCAGGACAGACTTGACGTATGAAAATTATTTAGAAGAAGAAAATCGTCGCGAAATGAATAGGTATGGAGAGAACAACATGTACGTTGAAAAATCCACATATTCAACTGATGCTGTAGGACTCTATGAGAACGACAATGCTTCTGGATTAATATTGAAGTCAGTGTCTGCACAAGTGAAGATCACCAGGCAGCCTATAGTAAACCAGAACCACACAGCTCCTTTGGTAGCCAGGTCGCCTAAGTATCCTTCGCCAGGGTCCAGTCAGAAGTCAGGGGACTATGCGGACTCTAGCTGCACGCCTAATTCCAGTCAGAAAAGTGAATTTTCTCCTTCGAGTTCTAAGAGTGGCGAGTATTATTTACATTCACCTGGAAACAGTGGTTCACCTACGAACGCTAAGGATTTAGATGAGAGGGATGAGATCTATGAGAATGAGAAATCTCCATCCAGATCATCTACCAGATGCATGGAGGACAGGATTTATGACGAAACACCTTCATCGCCTTGTGATGACCATTCCACTCCTACCAATTCGAATCAATTGGAGCGGTCTCCGGAAGAGTCCCCTAATAAGGTCAGTACATCCAGCCATAGTCCGTCGAAGAGTTCCCAAACGACTGAGAAGATTGAGGATACACAAAGACGAGTGGATCCAGTGAGTCCAGGTGGTCCGTGCTCCCCAGGCGGTAGTCAAAACAAGCAGATTCCTTCTAGGCCTCTTCCAACTCAATCTAGAAGAGCGCAGCCTACTGAACAAATTCTAATAGCTTCTCCAAAACGAGAAGCTACTTATGAAACCAGGATACCTAGGCCATCTAATGACGCCAGGCCACGTGACGTTGATTCTCCTGTGAACATCACCAATTCGCCTCTTAGAGTACATGGCCTTGGGTCGATGGACGCAAGAAACCAGGACCCATGTGGGAAGCAGGAGTTCTCTGGCTCGAGAATGACTTTCTCTGGTCAGGCAACTTCAAACTTTCCCACAGGAATCCCTCGACCTGAGCCCGTTTACGTTCAACGAAATGAAGTAGGGCAGCCTTGCGACTACAGGCCGAACTTACAGAAGAAGGACGGAGAAGATCGTGTGGCTTGGGTCCAAGGTAGAGCTTCATCTCCCGCGAAGAGTCCACAAAGAGCGCAAGGTACACAAAGAGTTCAGGCTCCAGAGAAGTCTAATCGCATGATAGATCAGCAAGCAGACATCCAGGGACACCATTCGCAGGTCCAGAGAACCAGGACCTCACCTGGTCAGGCGAAGACTAGAGTGTCTAGTCCGGGACACCGTGAATCGTCTTGCTCTCCTGATCATCAACGTCAACCCAGACCAATGGAAGAGGTTGTCTATGTTCAGAGGATGCCAGAGCCTCTCTACATGCAGAGAGGAGCTATCTCGCCGTCAAAACAAGAGACCAGACAGCATCTGGAAGCTTTCTACTGGCAACAAAAGGCACTAGAGGCACAAAGGAAGTCCATGGCTTCTACAGGAGCTACGAACCTTAGGCAAATCGTGCGCAAGATTGATTTACCTGAAGTTCGAGAAGCAGTCTACTGGCAGCAGCTGAAGAAACTTGACGAGGAGCAACAGAAACGCATCTACGAGCAAAATCTAGCTGACGAAGTGTCCTGCAGGTCCAAGAGTCCTCCTAAGCCTAGACAAGGGTCCACCCGAACTCCTGTTAATTACGGAGATGCATCAAATCCTTGGACCGATAATCTTCGCCGTCCAAAAGGGAATCCAAGTGGCAAGCCTCCGCTGATGCAAAGTCAGAAGGGTCCTAATCAGCCTGTGCTAATCGTCAGGCCTCAGCAAGCTATTAGAGATCGCAGGGAGATGCAGACTAAGCCTATAGACCCTGCCAGGTTAGAAGCTCAGAGGTCGAAAAGTGCTTCCCCTCATTTTCATCGCGGGAATGAGCCGCAACTAGTTCAAAGGAAGACTGAGAACACCAGCTACGAAGAAGCCAATGATGTTGAAGGCAAGACAACAGCACCTCCTCCTATTTTTAAAAGAGGCAGCTTGATCAGTGGAGAGTCTGTGGATTATGGGACCACTGGTGGTGCGAAGAGAGTCAGTTTTTCAAATCAGTCTTCGGTTGGTCAAGACTTAGCTGCTGGTAACTGGCCCACTAAACATGGGACTGCACCGGAACCTCCGACCAGGCGACATAGAAGCGAGGATAGTACTTCTGATACTGACTCAGTGTTTTCTCACGACCGCCGCGACGGTGGACAGTGTCCTGATGTCGAGTACGATGCCGATAGACCTTTGCCGCCTCTGCCCAAGGACTCCACTAGTTCTAGAATACCTGGGCCAGCGAGGAGCAACGTCGGGACGTCGGGGTATAGGGACATGCGTTGGCAGGATCCTCGACGAGTCACTAGTCCGTTGGGTCCTGATTCCTTACAGCGGTCGCCTCGTCAGAAGGGTGAGCGATATTTTACTCTTTCCATTTTTATACTTTTAACATTTCTTGTTAGGTTTCTGTTAGGATACTTTGCGACTTTAGCTTTTTAGAGGATTGTCTTTTATGATGTTAGGATTCTTTCGTAACTTCAACTTTGCGGTAACAAGTGATCTTTTTGTTCCTTGTTACGCTCTTGTTCACTTTGCTGCTGAGAACTTTTTAGAAAAGTTTGAGGACAAATTTCAAGTCATTAAGTGAAGCTGATATTATATTAAACTGTATTTACTTGCAATATTTATTAGTGTGTTATACTACAAGCTCAGCATCGAAAGGAAAAACGACAAACCTATTTTCTTGCTGGCGCAAGCTCCTTAGCGATTTTAGCTTTTTTAGGGGTTGCTTTTTTAGGACTTCCCTTTGAAGCTTTTTAGTACTTGGAGATTGTCTTTTAGGACCTTTTGGTTCCTTGTTACTCGTTCGTGTTGATTTTGTCATCGGGGGAAATTGTTTTGGTAGGATGTCCCGTGGGATGAGGACGCGGTTAGAGAGTCGTGTGCGTTGTCAGACTCGATTCGGAGATACTTCCGGCGATAGGCGGAACACTGTTGCACCCCGGATCGTAATTCCGAGTAGACAAGGTGGGAACTGCTCCTCAGCGTATGACCGTGCATTTCAATGAGCCTCTTAAAGCGAGCCGGGAATGGCCGTGGCATCGCGTGCGGGCACGTTCCTACTTTGCCCGTACAAATCTCGCACTTAGGCCTTAAGCCTCTTCCCAACTCAACGCGGTACCGATTTTCGTGATACTGATGCGCTGCGTTACCTACGGTCCGTGTATTTTTTCGTCTGTTTCTCTGTGAATTGTTTCTAAAATTGTTTGAAAAATGACTGGATCTCTTTGACCAACTGTTTTAATACAAATGGAAATATTAGAATTGAGATATTTTTGTTTGAAGAAAAGTGAAAGGATACTTTATTTATTCTTTGGTTTCTATATTACCTTCCTTCAGTATGCGTAGAACTACAAATTTTAGAATGAGAAGGAACGATGTAGGTATAAATATTATTGAACTCTATCCAGTATTCAAATTGATCAACTTTTTATCTTTATTATCTAAGCATTCAACCCCGCAAACGATCCCCTAGAAACCATTACAATTATCTAAATTATATAAAAATACCCAGGCTGTGAAATTAACTCTAAACTTTAGAAAAACTATAAACTTCAAAATCAATGACTTCCACACATCCATTCTTTAAATAAAGGTTCAGAACACTCACACCATATCACCCCTGACCAAAGAGCATCCAGCCTCATCAACCCCATTCTCCCTCCGCTCTTCATTCCCCACAAACCGCACTCTCACAGTCAGGTCAGAGGCCGAGAGACCAACCGAGGGAGGAACAGACCCCTTATAACACAGGGGTTCAATAAAGAGGTCGCGGTACCATCGAATGTTTTCGGTGCACCGAATCTCGACCCGAGCCAGAACAACGCGAACAATCGCGTCAACAAACCCCAGACAAAGACGGAACAAGCCAGGGACTAGCAGAGGGGGCGGTTAGGCGCGAGGGGATGATGCGTTGGCGCGATGTGGCGTTCGGGATCGATCCCCGCTTCGTTCCCGTGACGTCACCTCTCCAGCTAGACAGAAACAGCACTAGGAACCCCTACCGAGGAGTAGGGGCTGCAATATCTACCCAACAAAGGGCGGGATCAACTGCTCCATCCCCAAAGTAGCTAAAAAGACACCATCCAAAACTAGAGAAACCTTAGGGTGCTTCAAAAAATTTACATATTACGATACTTATGTCATAGAAATCTCGAAATATATCATGGCAACCTGGACATCTCATTTCAACATAAACAAAAAACACAAAAGTCAGCATAATTGCTTATAATTATACTCGTTCTTCGAGTATACTCATGTGAACAGTAAACTATTCATTTACTCTGGAAGTAAAAGATTCAAACAATCTTTATTCGGCAGTATATTTCATGTACATTATTATTAAGACCTTTAAAGAGGAGTGTTTATACCTATCTCAAACTCTGATCACACTTCTGGCCATGTCATTCATGTTGCCTGCTGCCCTAATGATTTCATATACCCTATCTTCTATAATTTCATTGACATTTTCTATTTATTTCCTTATATACTCCACGAGAAGCTCTGCCCATTTACATTAAACAAATCCTAGTAACAAATGAGAGTTCCTTGTGCAATACAATTCTCACAACAATCTCGCCATCGAGAGGGACTATTCCAGCAACCAGTCCCCGTCCTCGTTTTTCGTTGGTGCTGCCGCCCGGTGGTCCGTCGTTGGCGCACCCTGTCACTAGCGGTTCGCCTAGCAGTGATGGCAGCGTGGCCCGTCGCTCGTGGGGTGGCAGCGTCGCCGGGTCCGTTACCTGTGCGCTGACTGTCCTCTCTCTCTCGTGCTGCTAGGGGCGTCCGAATCGATCGCGACCTTCGGGTCCATACCCTAAACCAGTGTGTGTCTCTCGGCGGCGCGCGGAGCCGGCGGATCAGTGGTGATCGTTCCCGGCCGCGACTCGGGAGTGCGCGGCCTCTGGAAAATCGGATCGTCGAGGAGTCACCGGGGGTGGGCTCGGTGCTGCCGCCGAGCCGGCTGCCCGTCAAACGCCGCGTACCCGCCGCCTGGCATTCTTCGTCTGGTCGTCTCACCCCTCCAACCCCCTAGCAGTCGTATCTTGAAACTTTAAGACTCCGTTCCGTCGGATTCCTCAATCCGGATCAAGTTCTCCGTTTTCAGTTCCTAAAGGGTTTCATTCGGCGAGTAGAAGATGTCAGCTGGCCGCGAAGTTCCTCGAAGATTCTTCAGTGCTAAGTTTTAGCCTCCCATGGCTAGCAGTGATAGAGGGTGACCCAGTGAATCGGACTGAATCCCGGATCTCGTTCTTCCCGGTGAGAAGATTCTCGGATCGCGATTCCCGGCGTCCGTTTAGGAGACAGGGTAGCTATCGATCCAAGCCATGGACCTCACCGTCAGCAGAATACACTTGATAATATTCCTGGTCTTTTTCCTACTGATCGTATTCTTCTCCCTTCTGCTCTTCTCGTTCTTCTTCCGAGTGATTCTGTAATTCCCCGTCGTCATCGATTGGCCGACCCTAGACCCGGTTGCTCCCTCTATCACCGGCTTAGGGTATGACACGTATCGAAACCACCACGGAGACGCTCGGAACAGTTTTTCTTATCGTTGCTAGGCCCCAACGAACCTCTTAGTTCCTTCGTTTCGCTCGAGTGAGGATAGTCTTCAGTGTCAGTGCGACCGTCGATCCCTGGCCTGGTCTTTGAGCTCTGCCAGGGGTTAGCTCGAAAGGGTAGTCGAGGAATAGCGGCCCGACGTTCCTTTGACCCACTGATCCGGTTCGGTAGCGCGGCACGCTCGAGTACGCTCGGCCTCGCGTCGAAACGCCGGAAGATGGCGACGTCATGGGCGCCGGGACGCCGACCAGGCGCCGCGACTGTTGCGCCCGCGTCGACCGGAAACGGTACAACGTCCGTTCCCGTCGTTCCTGGGAACTGTTCCACTGCGAATCAGCGGCTTTCCCTCAGTTTCCTCCGGTATCTTCGCTGTTGTACGCGTGTGGCCACTGTTTTCCCGTCTTTTCGCGAGTTAAACCGTCGTGTTCGTTGAAGTTAGGGGATCCTCTTTGAGCTGGCAGGGCTAGGATCGGCCTGGGATTGAAGTTGAGCGGTCAGACGAGGTGAAGGGCCGAAATATCGAGGGACGAGGACGATTACACCGGCGTTCCGCGGTGATATGAATGAGCCGAACGGCCGGCGAGTGCGATCGCGCGCGATCACGCGCCGCGTACCGTGCACGGTTCACGCGATCGAGCCGGGCAGCCCGGCCGCGAGCCCGGCGCCCGAGCTGTGAGCGAAGCTCGCGCGAGCGAAGCTGGTTCTGCGGACGTTCGACCGGATTGGAAGCATGCTGACCCGCTGGAAAAGCAAGGACAAGAGTTCCGGCAAGAGCTCGTCTGCCGGCACCGGTCTCGGCAAGAAGAAACGCAAGTTCGGCAGAGAAGGTAAGGGTTATTGGGCAAAGCACTGTTGCCCCTGGGGAATATTTGGGGGCGGGTTTGCGAATGGGTTAGTTACAATGGGGTTGGTCACGAATTTAAATGACTCGAGTGTTGGATGTTAGAGTAACGAGTTTTGTTGATGGCGTAATGGCCTACGAATTTTGGGGAAACGAGGGCCAGGGGAATTTTGAACGGTTTTGTTTCTGTAGGATTTTTACGTTGTATGTGCATGTTTAGATGTAGACAAATTTTTAAGTAGACGGGATGATTGAGGAGTTTAAAAATACGCAGACTTAGAGAATTCTGAGAATATGGTTTTGAAAATTTGTGTTGATATAATAACTCCGAGCATATGTCTGAAAGAGTTCTAAAATAAATGAAATATCAACAATAAAATGAGCAGAAAGAGAAGCTTGACAAATATGACCTAGTGAAATTTCGAATTTCGTTGCATGCAGCTAGAGACAGCAACTGTAACTTCGAACACCTGGCTGTAGAAATGTTCATTAAACCCCATACCAGTGACAAATAATTAATAACAGTTCCGCAAGCTAACAAGTTTCACGAATTACCGCGCAGACCCCATTATTCCAACGAAAGCCGTTTCACAGAAAACCCGAGCATCCCCCAATGAAAAAACCAAAGACAATCTCGGACTCGTGAAAACAGCAACAAATTCCATCCACCTGCTAAAACACTAAACTCCACTGACAACTAGATCTACTGAAATTCCAAACTGTATCGCGCATAGCCGACCAGAACCCGGCCCCGCGTATCGAATAAAAGCTAAATGACAAACCCATCGACCGTAAACGTTGCACAGAGAAAAAACGAATCGTTGTTTCCGGGAACGGGTTCGATCGCACCGAGGCTATCGCAAATATCCCGTTTACCGGAAGTCGCGATGCAAACATCCGGCCAGTGTTTACCAACAACGCGATCGTCGCCCGCGCGGAAAAACATT